CAGCACCTACCAGATGCAAAAGGTTTCATTCTGATCGGTTCACCCAGCTAGGCGTAATCGGCGAACATACATAGGGGAAAAAAAAAATATACTGATCGAATTGAGTAACTCTTCCTTTTTCGAAGTCGGTTAAAAATGAAAAATTTTTTGATAATGGTACCAATGGGGAGTCAGCACCTACCAGATGCAAAAGGTTTCATTCTGATCGGTTCACCCAGCTAGGCGTAATCGGCGAACATACATAGGGGAAAAAAAAAATATACTGATCGAATTGAGTAACTCTTCCTTTTTCGAAGTCGGTTAAAAATGAAAAATTTTTTGATAATGGTACCAATGGGGAGTCAGCACCTACCAGATGCAAAAGGTTTCATTCTGATCGGTTCACCCAGCTAGGCGTAATCGGCGAACATACATAGGGGAAAAAAAAAATATACTGATCGAATTGAGTAACTCTTCCTTTTTCGAAGTCGGTTAAAAATGAAAAATTTTTTGATAATGGTACCAATGGGGAGTCAGCACCTACCAGATGCAAAAGGTTTCATTCTGATCGGTTCACCCAGCTAGGCGTAATCGGCGAACATACATAGGGGAAAAAAAAAATATACTGATCGAATTGAGTAACTCTTCCTTTTTCGAAGTCGGTTAAAAATGAAAAATTTTTTGATAATGGTACCAATGGGGAGTCAGAACCTACCAGATGTAAAAGGTTTCGTTCTGATCGGTTCACCCAGCTAGGCGTAATCGGCGAACATACATAGGGGAAAAAAAAAATATACTGATCGAATTGAGTAACTCTTCCTTTTTCGAAGTCGGTTAAAAATGAAAAATTTTTTGATAATGGTACCAATGGGGAGTCAGAACCTACCAGATGTAAAAGGTTTCGTTCTGATCGGTTCACCCAGCTAGGCGTAATCGGCGAACATACATAGGGGAAAAAAAAAATATACTGATCGAATTGAGTAACTCTTCCTTTTTCGAAGTCGGTTAAAAATGAAAAATTTTTTGATAATGGTACCAATGGGGAGTCAGAACCTACCAGATGTAAAAGGTTTCGTTCTGATCGGTTCACCCAGCTAGGCGTAATCGGCGAACATACATAGGGGAAAAAAAAAATATACTGATCGAATTGAGTAACTCTTCCTTTTTCGAAGTCGGTTAAAAATGAAAAATTTTTTGATAATGGTACCAATGGGGAGTCAGAACCTACCAGATGTAAAAGGTTTCGTTCTGATCGGTTCACCCAGCTAGGCGTAATCGGCGAACATACATAGGGGAAAAAAAAAATATACTGATCGAATTGAGTAACTCTTCCTTTTTCGAAGTCGGTTAAAAATGAAAAATTTTTTGATAATGGTACCAATGGGGAGTCAGAACCTACCAGATGTAAAAGGTTTCGTTCTGATCGGTTCACCCAGCTAGGCGTAATCGGCGAACATACATAGGGGAAAAAAAAAATATACTGATCGAATTGAGTAACTCTTCCTTTTTCGAAGTCGGTTAAAAATGAAAAATTTTTTGATAATGGTACCAATGGGGAGTCAGAACCTACCAGATGTAAAAGGTTTCGTTCTGATCGGTTCACCCAGCTAGGCGTAATCGGCGAACATACATAGGGGAAAAAAAAAATATACTGATCGAATTGAGTAACTCTTCCTTTTTCGAAGTCGGTTAAAAATGAAAAATTTTTTGATAATGGTACCAATGGGGAGTCAGAACCTACCAGATGTAAAAGGTTTCGTTCTGATCGGTTCACCCAGCTAGGCGTAATCGGCGAACATACATAGGGGAAAAAAAAAATATACTGATCGAATTGAGTAACTCTTCCTTTTTCGAAGTCGGTTAAAAATGAAAAATTTTTTGATAATGGTACCAATGGGGAGTCAGAACCTACCAGATGTAAAAGGTTTCGTTCTGATCGGTTCACCCAGCTAGGCGTAATCGGCGAACATACATAGGGGAAAAAAAAAATATATATACTGATCGAATTGAGTAACCTCCTCCTTTTTCGAAGTCGGTTAAAAAGAAAAGAATATATCATCATTAATGATTAAACTTCGCAAGTTCCGAAATCTTTAAATTTTTAAATTTTCACATTCCCAATTTCTTAAATTTCTAAATTCTCAAACTTTTAAATTTAAAAAATTCAAATTTAAGACTTCTAAATTCCCAAATTCCTAAATTTTCAAATTTCCATGTTTCTAAATTTTCAAGCTATTAAATTTATCATTTTCTACACACCAAAATTCTTAAATTTCGAAATTTCAAAATTCTTTAGTTACTGAATTTCCAAATTACGAAATCAATTTCCTAAATTTCTCAATTCTCGAATTTCAAAATTCTTAAATCTCTGAGGTCCTAAATTTTTAAACTTTTGAATTTTCAAATTATTAAATTGCCTAAATTCGCATGTGATCAAATTAAAAAATTAATAAGTTCTCAATTCCAAAATTTCCGACAAAACATTCAACTTCTACAATCTCCTAAATTTTCAAATTCCTAAACCTAAAATTCATTTCTTAAATCCAAAAATAAATTTTATACTTATAAACGAGTGGTACGTCTTCGATCTTCCATTCCACTACTTTCCCAAGACAAACTTTCCATTTCTTACACAATAATAATAATATTCACTCCTAAACAGACCACCCTCAAAATTGAATCTCCCCACTAAATTTAACTTTTTTAATATCTGCAACTATTCATACAACAGCAGCTAAGATTTTCTTGTCGTATTTTCTAGCCCATCATTCTCGAACGCAACTCCGATAACCAATCAATTTCTTGCGCCAACAGGTTGAGACAAATATCGACCACAGGAATCCAGACACGGGCAATGTTTATCTATCAGCGTGATCAATTAACTCTGACCACGGTGTATCAATTATCTTGATCAGGTACTCCACGGTGGTTAATTGCTCTCACGACACACATTTGATTGCGGGGATCGTGCGAACAGATTTTTCTCGTCCAGCTGTCTTTGGTAGCAGCAGACAATCGATATGTCTTTCCTCGTTCGATTCACAGCTCTGTCTCGCCTGTCAGCTCTCTTTCGTGCCACGTCTCATTACCTTTTTTCTGGCTGTCACTGTTTCACTATACCTCTCACGGCTCCACGACTGGATATCGGCGACCTTAAGTGGTCGTTACGTACGGCGAACTAACGATCCCCTAATTAGTGCGTAACAAGACGCCGCCACCAAGACGTGCCCGGTTTTCAACAACCTCCGCGTTCGATACGTATCTTGGGTTGCAGTATCGTGCAAAAGTAACTCGAACAATAGCTGGACGATTACATGTTACTGGTGAACAATGAAACAACGACGCGTGCAAAAGTGCTAGAACTCTTCGAAAGGAAATCGCGAGTTTTCTTCATGGACGGCTATGAGGGTGGAAGGTATTCGACCTGTACTAGGTACTTAACCAGTTAACTGTGGCGATCTTTTTGTAAAGCGCGCACCACTGTGTGTCGCGATCATCAAGCAATGACGAGTTAGCTCTCAAGACTTTATGAATCCATCTCAAATCATTTACACTTTTTATTCGTTTATTTCATTTTGTGTTGACCTTTAAACATTTTAAACATACTACAATTTACGAATATAATTCGTAATTGTTTCCGCCAAAATTACAATTTAAATATCAAAATGTAACAAAATTTTACGTATGACGAATATAGTCGTCATGACACAAAATTCTGCCACATCTCCATGAAGGATATAGTCGTTAAACAAACTTCACTGGTTGAAAATAAAATGAAAACAGCTACGTTGTTGAAAGGTATCAGGTCTTTTAGACTTCAAGACTATTTAGAAAAAATTAAGCGTGAATGAAAATTGTTAAGTTTTTAAGTGAATATTTAAGTACGACATTGAATATAAAAAGCGAAATGAGTTTATATTTATCTAAGAGTTACAGCAGTATTAATATTAGGGGTTAATATGTGAATGTTCGACTGATTTTTTTCCAGTTAAAGTCATCATTTTTCTTTCGATTTCTTAATTTATTTTTTCATTTTTATTTATTATTTTATTTTTCTGATTATTCTTTCCAATTTTCAAATTTCTATGGTAATAAAAATATTGCATTCCATTTCTTCATTTATTTTATGCCTTTATTTATTACATTAGGTCCTTTATTATTCTTTTTTCTGTTCTTTACTTTATTTTCTGGGGTAAAAATATTGCACGCTATTTCTGCATTTATATTTTTATTCACTACTTTATCTTCCTGACTATTTTTTATATTTTCTATTTTATTTATGACAGTAAAAATGTTGCACTCTAATTTTTCATTTCTTTCAAATTTTTATTCACTACTTTATTTTTCTGATATATTTTTCGTTCTACTTTTTTATTTGATTTTTTGTGATAGTAAAAATATCGCATTCGATTTTTCCATTTATTTTATATTTTTATTTATTACTTTATCTTCTTGACTATTTTTCTTTCTATTTTTTAGTTTATGTTCAATGTCAATATGCAATAAGTTGGATCTTTTTTATAATTGTTGTAAAATGCTGGTTTGTGTGGAATTAGATATAAGTTCCTAGAGATTCAATTTTCGATTTTCACAAATGAAACTGAGAGCAAAATGGAATAATTCAGACGTTTCATACGATCATTTATCATAAACTGCTGCGAAATTGCACTTGGGGTGGGTGTATCATTTTCGGCAAGATATTTCTGGTTATATAGCCCACGCTATAAAGCAATGAGTATTATGTTATACATAGAGCAGCCCACACTGTAAATTGATATTGTACAGCTAACTATAAACTCTTAGTATAGTATCCATAACAACCCAAATTTGGTGGTAACACCTCCGCAAAATATTGACGTCAACCAAATTGTGCAGGCGTGGGCAGAAATTATAACAAAAGAAATTAAAGAAATATGAAATTCCAATTAAATAATATAAACAAAAATGAAACCGTATAAAATTATCCGAAACATAATTTTGCATGTACTTTTTTCCATATGATAAATTTTAAGAATACTCACTTTCTTGCCGTCTAACTCGTGATTACCCTGTGCCAGCACTTTGTCCACACTCGCTGGATCTGCGAACGTGATGAATCCAAAGCCCCTGTAATACACAATAACTTTCCATTACTTTCACAACAATAAAAAGACCGTCTATCATATGTATAAAAAAACAGAATTATGACCTTGATAGCATATTTCACAGATTTACGAAATCCGTCAAAATAATGTGTGTTACACCTCATATATTAAATTAATATGGTAATTTCATCAAAATGCATGTCAACTTTTGTTGAGATGAAGAATAATTGTGTAAATTCATTCATGTTTCATCCTCAGTATATTCATCTCTGTATTTCATTTTTAATGTAACTGCGCACAGAAAAATAAAAACCTTGTATCAACGAATTACGTTTATATAATTAAATAAATCTAACGAACAATTGTAGAAAGTTTCATAAAAATCAGCGGGGATCCCATGTTAGAACGGCAACACCCAACCCACCGCAGGATTAACAGCGCCCTGGTACGTGGTTGTCCGCCAGAATGCCAGACAAAAGTCACGACACCGCATTCACGGAATTATTTCGTTCCATGCGGTAGCTCTTTTTCCAAACCGGCTACCATGGCAAACACGAGGCGAACATATAACTCCGGGCAGAGTTTAAGGCAAGTGGAGGGTGAAGTCGCAGCTCGAGTGAAACAAATATCGGCCGGCGTCCGGTGCCATAAATTTCACACGGGACACCGTGTACATACAGATATATTAAAAGATAGTTTACCGAGGAGTAACAGGGCGGAGGAGTCCGGGGGTCGAAGAGGGTGCCCCGACCAATCTGGGGTGGCTCGAGGAGCGCTGGAGGAGTGGCTCCGGGTGCACCCTGTACGATAGCGTGGTGAGGACCGGACGCAAAGCGGTTTGCATTTTTCATGCACGGGCTGGGTGTGCAGTTATTGAAAATATTTACATGTTATTTATGGGGTGTACATGCTTCAGGAAACCAAACGCGCCAATTCCTTCGATGCGTCTCTTCTCGTTTCACCTCTTTTACGTGAATTCGACTCTCTCGAGAACTCTGCGCTCTGAGCTAATAACGGGCAAATGTGCTCGCGTGGGCGTGGTTCTTTCTGATGTTGTTTACTAGGTAAAGTGTTACACAACTGTGATATCTTTTGTACTAAAAAATGGTGCTAAGTATTTGCCTATATCCAGACAATCATTGGGAATCGAACTAAGTATGTTAGGTTGTAGAATACATTAGAGAGGATTAGACCTCAGGCCATGTTTTGCGCACAATAGTTCATAATTTTTAGATCCTTCAGAAAACAACATTTGTTACTTTCAATAGCTTTTGACTCGTAGCAGAAATAGGACCCAAGGAGTCATTACATTCTAGCCAGTTTTTTCTTGATTTATTGCCAGTACATCTGGGGTCAG